CGGTGAGGACAGAAATGGCGTCGGGCTCGTCGAACAGCGGAAATGTGTATCTCGCAGATGGATTTTCTCAGACGCGACCTCCCAGATTCGAAGGTGTTAACTATGGTTACTGGAAAAACAGGATGGAGCTTTTTATCGGCTCCACAGACCCAGATCTATGGGATATCGTGATGGATGGGCCGCTCGAAGTCAAAGGGGCGAGAGGCAAATGCTCTGAAGAAGACAAGAAGAATTTCCAGCTAAATTCAAAGGCTACGAATCTGATGTATTGCGCTCTTGGTCCTGAGGAATACCACCGAGTCTCAGGATGCAAGAATGCCAAGGAGATTTGGGATAAATTGCAAGTTGCACATGAGGGTACCTCGCATGTTAAGATCTCCAGAATCAATCGACTCAAGCAAGAATTTGAGTCGTTCGTGATGAAGCCTGAAGAATCCATCAAAGAAATGCATGATAGATTCACAACGATAGTAAACAGCTTGAAGAATCTCGAAGTTGAATACACAAGTGCAGATTTGGTACGAAAGATTCTCTGGGCTCTTCCTAAGAGATGGACGCCCAAAGTCACTGCGATTGAGGAATCCAAGGATTTAACTCGACTAAGTTTGGATGAGCTCATGGGGTCACTTATCACACATGAAGACAAGTTGAAAAGAGAAGAGAATGACGAACCCAGAAGAGAGAAAAGGAGTATAGCATTCAAAGTAACTGCTCCTGAAGATGAGTTTGACAGTTTAGAAGACATGGAGGATGAAGAGCTGGCAATGTTGAGCAAACACGTTGCAAAAATGCTTCGAATAAGGAAAGAAAGAAGAAAGGGATTGTTTACCAACAGAGCAAAGGAAGGTGAACCTGACAAGGAGCAATTGAAGCCTCTCAAGACAAACTCAAGATTCAGAAAGGAATCTAACAGTAATGACAGGGGTGGAATGCAAGCTGGTTGCTTCAAGTGCGGAAGGAGTGGACATATCAAGGCTGAGTGTCCACAGCTGAAACGCGAGAAGGCTTATGTGGCTACCTGGAGCTGTAGTGACGATGATGATGATGAACTGGAGTCAAACATGAAATACGAAGCCTACATGGCAGTTGGAGAAAGTGAAGATGACTCTGATTCATCCCAGGTACACAATTCTCGCTATTATTCTGATTCCTATAATGAAGATGATCAAATGATAGAAACTATAAGAGACATTCAGTCGGAATTTGCAAGTGTTAAGCTCAAGCATTTGAAACTTAAAACTGAACTTAGAGAAATCTCTGAGAAGTATAAGAATTTAAAACAGGAGAAGCTTAGAGTTGATGATATGTTAAAAGAAACTGTTGATAGGAACACTGAACTAGAGATTGAAATTGCTAAGTTAAAAAATTCGATAGGAAATCAGTACCCTGTCAAACAACAGAATTGGATTAAAACTAAAGTAAGAGAGTCTCATAATCAGAAATCACCTGTTGAATGCTTTTACTGTCATGAGTTGGGACACTATATTGCTCACTGTAAAAAACGGATAGCCAAGGAAACTAGACTGAAAGAAATAACATGTTTCTCATGTCATGATAAGGGACACTTAAGCTATAATTGTACCAAAATTAGGATTAGAGGAGGGGTATCCAGATTGGTATGGGTACCAAAAATCAAGTAAATGTGTTTTCATGTCCAGGTCTGCTTCCAAGTGAGCATGGAAGCCAGTGAGTGGATTCTGGACAGTGGATGCTCACACCACATGACTGGAAATGAAAAACTTTTCACTAAATTGAGTAAGGGTAAGAGAGGTAAGGTTTATTTTGGGGATAACTATTGCACTGATATATTAGGAAGAGGTGAAATTGGAACTGGTCCTACTATTAAGAATGTTATGCTGGTTGATGGTCTAAAACACAACTTGTTCTCAATAAGTCAAATGTGTGGTGACACTAATAGAGTCATTTTTGAACCTAACAGATGTCTAGTAGAGAACATTGAAAACAATAGAGTTTTGTTCACCGGTAAAAGAAAAGGAAAACTATTCTGCATAAATCTGGAAAACAAAAGGGAATTCATTGAAATGTGTTTAGTTTCGGTAGATAAAAACAGTCAAATGGAGTGGCATAGGAAACTAGGTCATTTAAGTGTAGGTTCTCTAGCAAAACTGGTTAGTTTGAATATTGTAACAGGAATACCTAGATTAAACAGCAGAAAAGAATTTTTTTGTGAAGCTTGTACTAGGGGTAAACAAGTTAGAACATCTTTCAAAAGTAAGAATGTGATTTCCTCAACCAGACCCCTAGAATTGTTGCATTTGGACTTATTTGGTCCAAGTAATGTAATGAGTCTTGGTGGGAAATATTATGCATGTGTTGTAGTGGATGATTACTCTAGATATACCTGGGTATTGTTCCTGGCTAATAAGGGTGAAACTTTTCTGCATTTTAAAAGTCTGGTGAAACGTTTGGAAAATGAAAAGGAAACCAGAATTGCAAGTGTAAGAAGTGATCATGGGGGAGAGTTTATATCTGAAAATTTTGAAAACTTCTGTGAAGAATCAGGTATATTTCACAACTTTTCTGCTCCAAGAACACCTCAGCAAAATGGTGTAGTGGAGAGAAAAAATCGAACTCTGATTGATATAGCTAGGACAATGTTGAATGATTATGGCCTGCCAAAGCAATTCTGGGCAGAAGCTATAAACACTGCCTGTTATACAATAAATAGAGCTCTAATCAGGTCCAAGTTGAACAAAACTCCTTATGAACTTTGGAAAAATAGAAAACCTAATCTGGGGTACTTTCATCCTTTCGGTTGTAAATGTTTTGTGCTGAATACTAAGGATAATCTTGGAAAATTTGACTCTAAATCAGATGAGGCAACTTTTCTGGGATATTCTACACATAGTAAAGCATATAGGGTTTATAATAAACGGACCCTCAAAGTTGAGGAGTCTATACATGTGGTATTTGATGAATCCCCAAGTGAGTGTGCAGAATCTATTGAGGAAGATGATGATCTTGGACTTGGAAGGTCGTATCAAAAGGATCAGTTAAGGGAAAAAAGTCAAGACAGAGTAGACGCTGGTGTAACAGAAGAAATTGCTGCTGAAACAGAAAAGAAAAGTGATCAAAATGAAGGTAAACAGGCACCACTACATATCCAGAGACGACACCCTTCAAACCAGGTCATTGGTGATATAAACCAAGGTATGGTCACTAGATCCAAATCATCCTCTGTGCATACTGCATTTGTTTCCTTGATAGTACCTAGGAACATACGTGAAGCTTTAAATGATGAATTTTGGACAGCTTCGATGCAAGATGAAATAGGATATTTTGAGAGACTAAATGTGTGGGAACTAGTTCCTAAACCAGAAGACAAACCAATAATTGGGACAAAGTGGGTATACAAAAATAAGACTGATGAAATAGGTGATATAACAAAAAACAAATCTAGGTTAGTAGCTCAAGGGTATGATCAGGAAGAAGGAATTGATTTTGACGAATCTTTTGCTCCTGTAGCAAGACTAGAAGCTATCAGACTCTTGTGTGCCTTTGCTGCTTCCAAAAAATTCAAACTATATCAAATGGATGTAAAAAGTGCGTTTTTAAATGGGGATTTAAAAGAAGAGGTATATGTAGCTCAACCTCCTGGTTTTGAGAATCATAAGTTTCCAGATCATGTATACAAGTTAAATAAGGCTTTGTATGGTTTAAAACAGGCCCCTAGGGCGTGGTATGACAAGCTAAGCAATTTTTTGATTTCTGATGGGTTTCACAGGGGTTCTGTGGACAAAACTTTATTTATTAAAAACTTAAATGGTCATACATTACTTGTACAAGTATATGTTGATGACATAATCTTTGGATCATCTAGTCAGAAGCTGTGTAAAGAATTTGAAACTGCAATGCAAGGGGCATTTGAAATGAGTTTGATGGGTGAATTAACCTACTTTCTAGGTCTGAAAATTCAGCAAACAGAGAAAGGCACTTTCATAAGTCAATCTAAATATCTACTTAATATGTTGGATCGTTTTGATTTCAAAAACCTAAAATCTGCTATCACACCCATGGGATCTTCAGCCAAACTTACAATGGATGAATCAGGGGAACCTGTAAATGATAAAATGTATAGGGGGATGATAGGTTCTTTATTATATTTAACTGCTAGCCGGCCAGATATAATGTTTAGCGTGTGTGTGTGTGCACGGTTTCAGAGTTGTCCAAAAGTCAGCCATTTATCTGCTGTGAAGCGAATTTTTAGATATCTTGTGGGCACAACACATCTTGGTTTGTGGTATTCTTGTGATTCAAGTCTAGAATTGCTTAGTTACAGTGACTCGGATTATGCTGGGTGTGTAATTGACAGAAAAAGTACTTCTGGGGGGTGCCATTTTCTTGGTACATCCCTGATTTCCTGGTCAAGTAAAAAACAGAGTTCCGTTGCATTATCCACTGCGGAAGCAGAGTATATTGCAGCAGGACTGAGCTGTACTCAGCTGTTATGGCTGAAATATCAGCTTCTAGACTATGGATTAGAAGTAGGGTCTCTCCTAGTTTTGTGTGATAACACTAGTGCGATTAATATGACAAAGAACTCCATACAGCACTCCCGCACTAAGCACATTGAAGTGCGTTATCATTTCATTAGAGATCTTGTGCAAGATGGAAAAATACATCTGGAATTCATTAGTACTGACATGCAATGGGCAGACATTTTTACAAAACCTCTAGGATCGGACAAGTTTTTGTCTATACGACATGAACTTGGTATGTTCTCTCAAAATGAGATTGATATATCTTAGTTGATTCTGATTGCCTCTGATTGATTTAGATTGATATCGTAGAATATTTGCTTACCAAATCTTTGGGACTATGGGTCTAAAAGTCAAATACTTTCTTCTTCTCTCGAAGAGTTTCCTATTATGTGTACACGGTGTGTGTATAAAGTAAGGGTAACTCTTCCTCTTCCCACTCCATCCAACGCTGCTCACAATCACTCATCTAAAGCTTTTCCTCTCCCCCAACTCGTTCCAATGGCCTTTACTCATGGTCAGATGCATGCTAATGCTCTGTTCAAAAACCAAAGTTTTCGAAATGCTGCGACCTATTCCCGATATCTTCGTAGATTTCGAGATCGTCCTCTTTATCCCTCCTTCTTCATTCAGCCTGCTACCTTCTCAAAGTATGAGATTGATATTCCTGTATATCTTCGGCGACTTGGTTGGAGCTCTCTGGTCGAGAACTTGCGCTTCAGTCAGTGTCCTGAGGCTGTTCGCTTGTTCTATGTCAATCTTCGATGTGGACCAGGAAGTGACCCTTCCTATTTCACCACATTGGTGTATGATTATGAAATCAAAGTTACTCCTGACCTGCTAGCCTCGCTTCTGGGACTTCCACATGACGGCTTGAAGGCTGGGTCAGATAGAGACTTTTATCATTTCGGGTTTCGGTTCGACGAAACTCTTCAGTCTCTGGCTCATGATATTGGGCGCTGGTTTCCCTCTCAGCTCTCTGTTGGGCGCATGCCTGATGACCTAAAGGTGCTCCATTTCTTTTTGACTCGCTGTTTTCTCCCTCGAGATCTATCCAGCACTGAGTTGCTTCATTCGACTTATCTTTGGGTGCTATATAATGCACGAGCTGGACGCCGGATCAGCTTTGCATCACTAATGTTTTGCCATATGATCAGATTTGGCAATGAGTATTATAGTGGGCCTCTGCCATTTGGTCCCCAAATCACTCGCCTCATCTCCCGGTTGGGGATTTACCTGCGTGATAAGGTTGTAGTCTGTGATATTCTGGATGACCTACGACCCCAGCATGTGCTTGCTCGCCTTGACGCACTGGTTGGCCCTCGAAAGCCTGTCACTGGCTCAGGGGGAGTAAGCAACCAGCCTACAGAGCATGAGCATGCTACTGCTACTGCTACTGCTCTGGAGGATGCAGCAGCTGCAACCTTCAAACAAGCTGCACATTCTATGTGTGGACCTAAATGGAGGAAATGGTTAGAAAAGGATCTGCTGCTGCCTAGGTTTGTGTACGAGTCTAATCAGATCAATGATCCGATCAGTTCAGACTCAGAGTCGGACGATGAGGACAGAATTTCAACCTATGCATCACCACCTAAATACCCTTTTTGAGTAAATCTAGGAGATGGCTGTGTAAGAGTTTATTCAGCGGGTGTTTGAGTGTTTCTTTAAGGGATATCCTTTGGATGTAGCCTGAGTCGTCTGTTTACTTAAATAAAACAATATTTTCAATGAATAGTAGAATTTGTTGTGCATTATCAGATGGTTTGGACAGGCTGCACCAACGGTGTGTTAAGTGTGTGCAGGTTGCAGGGTTGAGCCATTGACAAGCTTAGGGGGAGAATGTTGGCAGAAGCTTGTTCAACGACTCAAAAGAAACACACGATCAAAGGAGTCAAAGAAGGAAACTCTTATTATGTCAAGCAATTCGGGAAAGTCAATCATGAATCAAGATCAAATCATGATCACAGTGATTGATCAAAGGAGAACCCAACGGTCAAAGAATTCGTGTGCTTAAAAAGGGAAAAGAAGGGATTGGGAAAAACACTTTTGTTCAGCAGAATCAAACAGAGAGATAGGTGAAAGAGCTGTGTTTGAAAAGGAACAAAAGAGGGTTAGAGCCATCGGGGAGAGAACTCTGTGTGATCAGCATCCTTTGAATTGGAACAGGTGACGGGGAGTCAGTGTTTCAAAGGGAATCTGAGTGTGTGTGACGGGGAGTCACAAGGGAATTGTGCTTGTATTCTGTAAACGGAACACATACATCCATAGTATATCGTCAAAGGGCTCAATCAGAGTGCCTTTGACCGTGGACTAGTCGATACTGATTTATCAGTATCGGAAACCACGTAAAAATCCTGGTGTCCTGGTCTGAGGCTTTATATTTTTAACCCTGCGGTTGCTGATCCTCTGTTTTCGCAAAGTGCTCTGTTTTGTGTAGGGAAGAAAGCCTGCCTCAGTCGAACACAGGGAAGGGAGGAGCTAAACGCAGGCGGCTGAGAAGAAAAGCAACCAAGGAGTTGGGCCGATTTTTCCGTGTTGAAATATCTAAATAAGAATTGGGCCAAAGCCCATTCAGTTCACAAACTCTATTACTGCTAATCCGCGTCCAAACTATTTTGCCCTAGCAATTCATATCAGTATCAACATCTTCTTTCTCAATTCCACTTTCTGATTAGGGTTCTTCGTTGCTCTTTCTCGAATCAATTGAAAAAGCAGGTAAGGTCTCGCGCTCGACCGAGTCAACACAGAGCAGAAGCGTGGGAGTTGTTGGGATAATTGTCTCATGCTTGAGATGTAGGGCCAGGTTTAAGCTATATATATAATTAGGACAAGTGGAAGGCATGATAATGAATTAGTGTGATGGAGTGAAACTCGAAGTTACACCTACGAGTTGGAATTACCAAGTAGTTTTGGAGGTAATCAAGAGTAGAGCTAGTTTGTAATCGATGTTGGTGGGAGAAATAATGGGTGGTAAGGATACAAATGGATTGCTCATTAGTTGGCAATTAGGTGGGCTACAAAGTAAGAGGAACACGAGGGACAGAGTTAGCTGGTTGCTAAATAATACAATTAGTTATTGATTAGCATGGACACTAAGTCATGCTTGGAATGGTAATCCCACTTAACTTTTGGGAATCACATGGAGGGATAGAGCTAGGGCGGATAATTCAAGCTAGGAGAGACGATCCTAAGGATTCATTTCTGGTCAGCGGTTAGTTCATGTCAAGCGGATTGAATATTAAGGTGAGTGTAAAGGGGTAAATTCTACGCCTTACGAGTTTTAACTGTGTGTTTTACGTGAAGTATATGCCAGTGCTTGATGATGTTTAAGCTTGATAATGCACGTTCTCGTTGGTGATACTGTTTGATGTGCTTACTTCAGTTTTCATTATTTACTTTTAAGCAATTTAGTTTCTGTCTTTTATTAAGAGGTTGTGATTGGTAAGAATAAGTTTTAGTAGTACTTCACCGTTAAATAAGTTAAGGTAAAGAGAGTAAGAGAAAGTAATAAGTAAGAACCAGATAAGTAACATCACTTAGCTAGCCACGTTCACGAGGGATCACTACTGGACGGCGATACGTAACGCAGTAGTTGATCGACCATGGAACTGGACGACGATACGTAATGCAGTTTCCATTTCCAAGTTTTAGGTACGCAATCGGACGGCGATAGGTAACGCGGTTGACATACATTAGTTTTGACACCGGACGGCGATACATAACGCGGTAGTCAAAATTCAGTTTGAGGGGCACCCCATTGTGAGGGTAGCCATTTTTAAGTAAGGCTAGTAGTGGTGCCAGCTAAGTCGAGGTAGGGGCCCCACAATAAGATAAAGGATGACATAACACAGTTTTAAGAGTTAAAGTTCTTAAGGGTGTAAGTAAGAACATCTTCCACCAGTTAAGGTAAGTGTTTTAAGTAAAAGTGCTCGAGTATTCGAGATTTAAAACGTAAGGGCGTAGACTAACCCCAACTCACTCACCAGCTTGAAGAGGACGAGGAGGAGTAGTTAGAGAGTAACGAGATCTAGAGAAACTGTTCGAGGGAAGCCAGCTAGAGGAGAACGATGCGAGCGTCTTGGAGGATGTCGAGTCAGAGTTTCCTATGAGCAGAAGCAGTAGTTGAGACTAGTTAGTTATTAGATTTTATGATTATGAGTATAGACTGGAGATTAGATGAAGATTTTAAAGATTGTGTTTAATTTGCCCACGTGTTTGGGCGTTGCTTTGAACTACAAGAGTGTGTTTTCAGTATTTTATATATGAAAATTTTCCCGCTGCAATTTAAGGTTTGACTAATTTATTTCTCAAGGGCATTTTAGTAAAAGTAGTACCCGGCCGGGTTAGGGAGTTACGGTGATATTCCCTGACCGGGGAATAGAAGAGGCAAACCGGGGAATTGGCTTTGAGGTAACTAACTCAAGCGTAACATTTTGGAAATTACCTAGGATGATGGTGGTGTTATCCACCTGTTGAATACGATTGGTGAATCTCACAAGCGCGGGCATAAAGCCCAAACTCGTGATTTTTGCTAAGCATCCAATTTTCCAACTTATGAAACAACCCAAGAGAGCTATAAAGAGATAAAGTGACGAATAACAATCTGGGGAGATGATTCGAGTTTCCTAAGACCATTGGAGATCGATCCCTCACCCTTAGAGTACCGATTGATCACATGGATAAGATTTGATTCACTCACATGATGATCTCCATCTCCAGCATTGTGTTTTCCTCTTTCTCCATGTAGTAAAAGCCTCTTCCACTTGGGTATGAAGAACTCTATATCTCTATGTTATGAGCATTTGTATGAACTCATTTCCATGACATTTGAAGATTATATATTCAATTAAGGCATCAATCAAAATTATATGAATCTTGATCACATTTTTATGATTCCTGCTTTGACCTAGATTGATAGTCTCTGAATAGGTCAATAGAGCAACCTAAATTGGAAGTAGTGAATCGATTGTACAGGAGTTGATCGATTCATTACTCTGTGCTAGAGTCAAAACCCAGTAGAGCAAGTCTTTTTGAATTTTCTTGGTAGTTTATTTGGATGATATCCCGTCAGGTATTATATTCAAGAGGATCTGGACTGCTTTCTTCGAGACTCCATACTATCTCAAGAATTTCTATAGTATAAATATAAACTGAATTGGATTGGGTGAATTACAACTTAGCCTAACTACATACTTGGGGGGGGGGGGGGGGGGGGGCTTACTTTCTCAAACTTGGAAATCAGAACATTTTTCCTTTTCATGAAATCAACTTCTCTATATTTTTATTGCTAGATAATAGATAATTCAGCGAGTAGTAAGTAGATATGGGACCCGAGTTGATAAGTAAAACTGAACCCACTATATCACATTCCTGAGTTACGATTACACTTGGTCATTTCTTATGGTGTTAGTATTTGCGAGTCAAGACCAAGGGTGGAATATGTGCAATCACTAATTCTTCACCCAACCATTCCCAAAAACAACTAGAAGTCAAATCACGGATTATATATCCATGATCAAAAATGCATTTCAAGTTCGAGGATGAATGAGTTAAGATGCACATGCTCACATCAAGTCGTTCTATGATTTCAAGGATGGTATCAAGATCAATGAAGTCCCCCAAGACGCAATTTGACTAAGTCTTTTCACATTGACAATCAGTGGGGCGGTGAAGCAATGGTTGAACAATCATCCGCATCATTTAATCACTTCTTGGGTGGACCTATGTGATAAGTTCTTTAAAAGATACATTCCACCCTCAAAGATGGCATTAATGCGGAGTGAGATCCAAATGTTAAACACTTAAAGCAAGAAGTATACGAGGCTTTATTTGAAGCATAGAAAAGGTTCACTTCACTTCTTCTCAAGTGTCCTCACCACTAGAGGTGGAAATCAGTACGGTATCGGTATCCCAATACCAAATACCGAAATTCTGATTACCAAATTACATCCTAAAATCAATCCCTATCAAAATACCTAAATAAATTCAGTATCCCAATCCCAATCCCTAAATATTTCGGTATCCCAATCGGTATTATCAAATACGAAATTAATAACCTTTGTAATTAATAATTAAATATATAAACTAGAGTTAATTATTTAATTTAGAGCAAATCGACTAAGCAAATAATCTTGAGTTTGCCTAGAGCTAAGATATGGATAAGGAGAATGGAGGTGAGGTGACATCTCAAGTTCTTATCATTTTTAATCTTTAATTTGACAAATTGGAGATTGAGAGACGACTAATATGATTATTTGCTTTTTGTGTTATGAAAATAACAAGCGATGAGGTGAGGGACGAGAGTGACTTAAATTGGAATGTCAATATTGAATTAGATGGGGATTCCAAGAAGTGAAATAGTGATAGAATGATCTATTTATAATTAAATAATACTCTTGGTCGTTGAGGGTCGTGTAGTAGTGAATGAGTGAGTTTAGTTGAAGGATAAAATACACACCAGCTTATATTTCGGTATTGATCAGTATTTTGGTATATAACGATCCCAATCCCGTAACCCCTAATACCAAATAACAGTTGAAATGCAATCACAATCCCAAGAAATAATAAGTGTATTCGGTAATACCAAATATAGAAAAAATCAGTACGAT